TTTGATGAAGGATTCTGTTTTCTTCACAATAATGAATTATGATTTCATTCAGGAATTCTGTGCCTTTTTCAGATCTGATTTTCTGAATGGTCTGACTTGCTTGGTTTTGAATCAGCTTCATGCAGTTGGTGAGTTTCCCTTGAGTCTCCTTCTTGCTGTTGAGGAAGATTGTCCACGTGTATCTTGAGTAATCATCAACTACCACCACGACATATTTCTTTCCACTTAGACTTATTGGTGTAACAGGGCCAAATAAGTCCATGTGGATAAGACTTAATATCCTTGTAGTTGAGGGTGCCGGTTTTGCCTTGAAAGTAGATTTGACTTGCTTTCCTTTCTGGCACGCATCACAAATGCTTTCCTTCCTGAATACAGCTTTGGGAAGGCCTTCTACTAACCCTTCTTTGGATAGCTTGTTGAGAGTTTTGAAGTTGAGATGACTCAACCTCTTATGCCAAAGCCATAGAAGGTTAGTGTCACCTTTGCTGATTAGACATGCTTCCTTGACATCATTCCATATCACTTTATGGATGTTTCTGATTCTCTTCCCAGTGAGAATGACTTCATTTGTGGAGATGTTCTTGAGAGATGCCATGTCCTTGAAGAATTTCAAGGAGTAACCTTTATCACAAAACTGACTTATGCTAAGAAGGTTGTAATTGAGTCCTTCAACATAAGATACAGCTTGGTTGGTTAGTCCCTTGTACACAAGATTTCCTAGTCCTTTAGTAAGGCCAAAATCGTTGCTTCCTCCAAAAGTAACTCTTGGACCATCATAGGGAATTAAATTGCTCAAAAGGCTCGCATCACCTGTCATGTGTTTTGAGCAGCCACTGTCTAAGTACCAGACACCTGGGTACTTAGCGGCTTCCTGCATTAGGAGGAGGAAGATTTTGGTACCCATTTCAGTTTGGGTCCGGAATGGTTAATGGTGTGTGTCCCTACATCAAGTTTAAAGTGGCAGGGAATTTTCCTTGCAGCTCTAAACTTGTTGGGATTGTAATCATAGTTGTAGGCATAAAACTTCCTACGTGCACGAGGTGCAATTTCCTGTTTCCTCCTAGCAAACCTAGGTTGATAAGACCTATAGTTTTGTCTAGGTTGTGCATAGTGTGACCTGTGTTGGTTATAAGCATACTTAGGTGGCACAAATAGTTTCTGGGGTGGAGGATGACTATATCTTGGCATAGTTCTCCACTCAGAATTTCTCGGAAAACTCCTGTCTACCCGATAATGAGTATAGCCTCGTGTGTATTGGGGGTTAGAAGGTTTTCATATGAAATTGTTTCCTTTTTGAGGTCTGTCCAGCTTCCTTTTTGGGAACTTCTGTTGGTTTCTCCTTTTCCTTCCCTTTCTGCTTATTAGGTTTGACAGTAGGTTTAGGAGGGATGAAAGTTGTCTTCCCTTTCCTTTTGGAACTAGAGGGGTCAAACCCAAGTCCTTTGCGACCCTTATGTTTGGTCGTTTCAAGCAGCTTGTTCACTGCTTCTTTGGACTTGAGTATCCCTAGCTCTTTGTTAAGGGATTTCACCTTTTCAGAGAGAGATTCATTTTCAGTCTTGAGTTGAGTGATCTCATTCAGTTGACTTTTCCGACTTTCAGTCAACTTGAGATTCTCTTCACTCAATAGTTTGTTCTCTTCTGTTAAGGATGAGTGTTTGAGATTTATCTCCTCAAAGTCTTTCATCATCTTTTTGAACTGGTCAAAAAGATTTTCAGAGGTTGGTATGCTATAAGA